GCAGGCATTCACCTCAATAAAGAACACTTTTCATTGGCCTCCCTCCGACTGTCTTTCTTTTTGTGACGTTTAAGGCTGAGTAGCACGTTTCTTATCGAGGTCGTTCGCTTGATAATGTAGCAATTTAAGGCTTCAATTAGCGCCGTTTGAGGGTGACATTTCAGGTTCTCACGACGACGAGCAGAAGGTGGCTGTCTCCTGAGATGTTGACGCGTGATGGAGGCAGTGATCACCTCCGAAACGTCGGCCAGACTTCGCGGCGCAACAGCCCAGAAGACGGTCGTGAAACGGCGCTCCACCTCGTGTTGCCCGGCGTGACTCTGGTTCGATGCTGGGGCATCCCCTCCCCCCTCTTGCCCCGCGCGTCCTTGGGCTGATGCAACAGTCGCCCGCTTTATAGCGCGGTCGTCCGGCTGCCGGCCCCAGTTGCGTTCCGACATGGGGACTTGGGTTGTAGCCGTGGTGGCAGCGTCTCTGACGGTCTGCAGTGGCGCCCTCGCTCTGCTGACGCTACCTGGCGGCGGGCAGGCGGACGACCACCCGCTGGCTCGAGACGGTACCTCTTCGAGAGTGACTGTGTGTGTGAGTGAGTGAGTGAGTGAGGCGTTCTTTGCAAGTGCTGCGATGAATTTCGGTCGTCTTCGCCCCGATGGTCCGGTGATTCCGATGCGTTTCACTTCTCCGTCCGGACGGGGCCTGCAATTCAAATATTTCTGCTTGTCTTGTTTCAGGAGGCCTCCTCCCCACTGCACAGTCCGTTCAGCCGGGGAAGTTGGCTCGTAGGTTTTTGTTTGACTCCTGGCCACGTGCAAGAAACTTTGTCATTCGTCGCCACTTTAATTCGATATTCCTACCGGGGCCAGATTAATTCAAATGTCGAGTAATTTCCGTGTTTTCCGAGAATTCTTCACCACAATACTGTACGCATTTCATGTTTCTCTGTGAGTGCTTTATTCTGTTGATACTTCTCGCAAATGCCGAGGCTCCAGTTCTGATGCTGTGGATCCCCCCCCCCTTGTCGGCTGTCACGATGAAGTAATCTCGGGGTCTCAATGCGTACTTACTTCCGCGTTCCTCCTGTGACGTTTCCACTGCCAGGATCTCCAGAATTTGACTTCATCCCGGCTGGCTGTGTGGCAAATAACTTGTGTGATTGGTACAGCATCGTAACTCTACACCTTTCAATTGTTTGATGAGACTGAATTGCTTGTCCCTCATTACTTATTCACCGCACAGAATTGTCTTACGTCCGGGAGGGCGTGTGCCTTGCTCGCCTAGCCGCGTGGACATTGCCGGAGGCCGTGCAACTGCGTATGTCGTCTTAAATCGCCGGGTTCGACGTTTCGCCCCTGCAGGCGGTGAAAGCTGCTTTGGGTTCTATAACGTCGACGTATTTCTTTAGAGTGGGCGTCACTTTCTCGTTGAATATCCGAGGTAATTCGTGTTTTGCTGCTCTGGTAGTTTTGTTTATAAACAGAGTCTTGCGCATGCGCAGTAGCACCGGCGCGTGTCCAACTGGTCAGTGGTACGGAGGACAAGGCTGGCGGCCGCCCCGGTGACCCTGGGGTCGCGTCCTTGCTGACAGCGGAAACAGGAACACGATTCACGCAAAACGTCTTACGGGCTCCGGTGTACCTCAGTTGGGTTGGCAATTCCGCGTTTTAGGGGTGTCATTTGTTGCTCTGAATAAGGACGCCAGATTCAAATCGTCCTCCTACGTTTGTCCGCACGAGTCAGAGGCGTAAAATCTGCCAGCAATTAGCCAATAAGACGGCGACAAATGCTTGATGCAGAAGATTGTACAGCACTTCCAGTTGGGTAGCGTTTGAGAGGGGTTAGAAGGTTCCCAGTCTTTGCCCGCTCGTCCTTCTGATGAGGGTGTTATTGTGGTTGCAGGAGGTAGGAGCTTCAGACAGGCACACTGGAATTTTCGTCCAAAGAAATTTGGCGATTTCTACAGCAAGGGGTGTAGTTTTGGTAGGTTTAAAATGAGAGGTGACCGCTCGGAGGACCTCCCGTATGCGTACTGACTAATGACGAACAGTGTGACAAACAGAAGAATGTAAAATTCCCCGTGACATGCGCTGTTACATTGTTAATGATTCGCCCACGCTTTTATTAGAGCGTAGTTTAGTTTGCATGATCTGCGTGAGAAAGTGCAGGTTCCACTGGAGTTTCCAAAAGCAGAGTTAATTTTCGACACGCGGGGACGTCGTTCATTCGCCCATGAGGGAATCGGGCACGGTTGACTCCGCTCAGATAAAGTTTCGGGTATCGAACCAGTAATTGTTCTCACAGGGTGACATTTAACATTGGCTTAAATCGCAGTTTCTGTTGTTCCCTGTAAGGACAAGTTTCAAAAGCCTTTGTTACTCGCTCGTAATCGCATGTAATGTGAGGTTCGGCGATCGGAAGGGCCGAGGCGAGGGTTGAGACACGAAAGAAATTCATTCCCGTTGAATTTCACGGATAAGCAAACTGTTATTTATATAAAAAACTAGAGATCGGTGGACTGAATGTATAATGGAGTCCAGGAGTGAGAAGAAATGTCACAAGAAAGAATGTCCGGGAGGCCTCGCCTCCGAAGCTAATCGCCGAATGTGACCAGGCAGCGTGAAGGCATTCCGACGGCCATTGCCCTCCGCGTTTCTGCGAAATGGAAACTCGACCGCGCGGAACTAGGTCGAGACCACGGAGCCGGATGTTGTGTCGGGATGTCCAGGGTTCGAGCACAGGTTTTAACAACGTTTAAAGAAGCTGGTAGCAGCGTTGTTATCGAGTTCGTGCTGGCCGTTGCGAGAGGCACATCGCAGTGCACGCGCTCTCAGATATTTAGCGTTCCGTGTTCACGAAAATCAGGATTACCAGGGCGACCCTCAGAACATGAGAGTCCGTAAAATATCTTGCGTCATAATTTCGGCCCCGGCTGCGATGCGTCGTTGGAAAGAAGATTTCGGATTACGACCTCGAGCCACTCTTGCGCGAAATCTGGCTCTAGTCCGAGACGTAGTAGAATTGGCCTTACATAACGCAGCGCGAAGGCCGCCCGTGTCCTCTTGACCTGGTCACTTGTCAGCTGCGTTCTACTCCGTGGTTGATAAGACGTCATTAAACCGACTGCTTCGTAGGTTAGGGCACTGAAGTCGGAAAGATGGTAATGGTTGGCGTCGATTGGCTAAGGATTTGGAAGGAATCTGTTATGACCAGCGTCGTTTGTTGCTGGATTTTCCCGTAACGTCGTCGAGTCGGCAGAAAGGACGGGTTTGGTCTGGGTCCTCGTCTCTTAGCAACGTTGAGGCCGTACCGCGAAGAAAACACCACAACTCTTCACCATTACGAAGATCAACTGGTTAACGCTGTTTAAGGAAATAATCGCTGTTTATTCTGAGAATCACACGAAACACATAAATACAAAATGAAGAGTTTTTGAATATTATTGTAGGTGGTACATATAGTTACCACCAGGCTGTAGGGGGTTAAAAGTTACAGCACATGAAATCTGCCAGTCGTTGATTTTGCTTGAAGACAGAAACAACACGTCATCCCGTCGGCTTTAGTAGTTAGATCATTAAGACGGCTTCCCAGTACTTCGAAGCAGACGCAACTTCAAAGTTTCACACGTCGCTCCATACATATAGTTACCACCAGGCTGTAGGGAGTTAAAAGTTACAGCACGTGAAATCTGTCAGTCGTTGCCTTTGCTTGAAGACAGAAAGAATACGACATCCCGTCGGCTTTAGTAATTAGATCATTAACACGGCATCCCAGTACTTCGAAGCAGACGCAACTTCAAAGTTTCACACGTCGCTCCACTTCGTAGTAAACACGCACGCACGCACGCACAAATAGGCTTATGCGCGATCTGTGGGTTTGTTCACGATGTTTCGTCTGTTATCGCCGTCAGGCTGAGAGCTACGTAGGAATTTCACGCGGCCGCCATATTACGCCTTTGTGACGTCTGTTGTCACACAGAATATCAGAACCCCGCCAGTGTCGCTCGCTCCTCGGAATATCGCGGGTCCGCCATGTTTGAACAATTTGAAATGCGTAACTGGCGTGGACACTCGGACATCGTAATGTCGCAGATTGGTCTTTTATCGAGAATCGAAGAAAGTAAAATAAAAATGGGAGCTCAGACGTCTTGATGTTTAGCTGACAGCACGCCACTGATACCTAAACGTTCCGCAGTGATTAATCTTTGAGCCAGTTGAATCCAGTTACTGTCACCGTCATGTAGAAGCGAGCGCCTTGCTGGAATTGGAAGACGCATCAGCGGCCCTAGGGACCGCATTCATATGAGGAGATATCAGTGGCGTGCAGTGGCTTGGTCACCGGAGCATCTTCTGTCAACTTTTTCGTGCAGACGACGGAAATAAGTAGAAAATCGAAGTTTTAATTGTAGTTGTTTGTAGCGGGAGCGTTGTGCGTCCTCAGACATCCCCTGTCACCGTACAAGATGCAATCTTCTATGCGTGCACAGTGGTAACTATGTGGACCACGCGTTTTAACCTGCATTTACTCGTAACTTCGCCCGCGCGATGTATTTGTGTCTCATTACAAACTCGGCTGTTCTCCAAATATTGACCTGGCCTTCGTCTTGTAATTTGCGTCATTTCCGATTCATTAAGTGCCTTTCTCCGTCGTAATGACAGGCCGCGCTAATAAGGCTGCCATCTTGTTCTGTGTACGGTTGTCATGGTGCCTAATGGCTGTTACAGTGGAGCCAATTTCATGTAGCTTTCAAGTTGGATGTCCTATTAGCTTCGTTGTCTCGAACACAAATTGGGCAAACCTTATCGACTTGTCACGTCGATGTGTGTCCGCTTGTTTGACTGCAGATTTGTTAAAGTAGAGGGTTCTAGATCGTTAAACATCCAGAGTGCATTTCGTCATGGGGAGGGATATTTTCTGTCGGAGTAGCAGTGATACCAACGGGTGAAAATTACCGCGGTTCCTTAAATAGCCCGTGTAATGAGAGTGAGCAGTGTTGAAGAACGCTCTGTGTGTGTGTGTTGCCCGCATGTCCCCCACTGAATGCACGCCACTGTGAATACAGTGTTGCCTTGTTTGTGTTGCAGTGAGCCGGACGTGTTCGGACTCGGAGTTCAGGTGTGGCAACGGACGATGCATCCCAATTCACTGGCAGTGCGACAACGAGAAGGACTGTAGCGACGGCGACGACGAGGTCCCGAGCGTCTGCCGTGAGTCTCTCTGTTTTGTGCCTTATTCCGGGGCAAGTCGGGGGTCTTGAAAAAATTTGGTATGGAGACGGGGGACTAAACGACAGCGACATCTTGTGTTGTGTCTCGACACTCTGTAAATCTTCCCAAGAAGAAAGAGAATGGCCGCTTCGGTGGCGGCCTCAGAGCTCGAGACTCAGCAACACACGTTCAGTACGCGACTGTTTTGCGGAAGGCAATGAGGGATTTGTTTTAGGAATTCGATGCGTTTCTCTAGAATGAACGGGTTCAGAGAAATCCGGACTGCGTCGCATTACGAAGCCCATATTAGGCGTCACGTGTCGAAGCGTCTGATCGATGTATCGAGACGACGTGAAGTGAAACTTCGCTAGCCTGTTTCCGGTAAAGACGCGAGAACGGCGAAGGAGGAGGAAGAATGCGTGGAGTTCATGTATTTTTAGAGGAAAGTCGATAAATTACATTGAACTTCGGTCAAGTTTATTCTTTTTTTTTTTGCGAGTAGGAATAAAATTACTGATACTAAGGCCGCATTTTTCAAAATCTCTCCCGAGAGCGAAAAAGCAAGCGAGTTCTGTTCGTACTAAAATAATCTGTGCGCAGATGGCGTCCGATTGCCTTCGCCCTTTTCGTGGGGGCGGTAAGTACCTCTGAAACGTCGGTCGCTGTCCACAGAAGCTCTAGGCTCCTACACAGTTTCTTTCCTGTTTTGATAGTCGTAGTTTCGACATCGCATCTGTTCGCAACAGCAGACGAACGCTTTGTGGAGCTGAATTCGCCGATCGGGGTCACCGGAGAGCCTGTGGCCAGCACCAGGAAGTGTTCCTTGCGCCCTTCATGCGCCGATACGTCGCAGGGGCAGAGTTGAAGCCGATAACGTGAAGTGACTCTGTCGCTCGGCCTTGCACTGACCTGACAAGGGAACTGGAGCCACTGGGTTACGTAATCGTATTTACAAACATGGACGCAGACGAGGCAAGTTAATATGACGACGCTGTATCAGCTG